AATGTTGTGACAGTAGAGATAGTAATCGGACTTTGTGGCGGAGTAATCGAACCAAATAGTCTCGAACCACGTGAGGTTTCGACCTAACGCCATGGAAGCTTCTTCAATCGTTGCGTAAGGGATCATTGTAGATGACGACGGAGGATTCTCAGTTCCAGGACTGGTTTTTTCCGGCGCCGGTGGTGACGATCGTTGACGTGAGATTGAGGAGTGAGATAGAGAGAGTGTCGTCGTTCTGGATTTTGTCTGTTATATACATAGTTATCTGGCGAATCTTTGGGACTGATGACGTGGCTTAGTCGGTTTAGCTACAAGTGTATGAAATAATAATATCACTTAACCAATTGAACCGGATCAAACCAAATCCGCTAACTGTCTCTAGTTAATTTTGGGAATTACATCATGTTATGAAATATTATGCAAAATCGAGCATACAATCTTGTTCTGAATACTTCGGAGCATAAAGTTCCCGAATGCACATCTTGTCCATAAGATAAGATAGTACAAGTATTGTTGACAGTGATTTGATGTATCGTTTTGAAATAGAGTTTCGAATGAAATGGCGAATAAATATATCCTATATATAATAGTTGAGTTCCCTCTTACAAGAGATTGACACCTAAGCAGTCCTCCTTATGCCACATCATATTTTAAATTTTGACATCTCACCATATCTTTGGAAGTTGGAACGCAAACAAACATTCTTCTTCAACTCATCGCCTACCCTATTACAACTATTTATTGCTTGGACAAAGGAGATGTATCTGAACTAAACTCTTCTTCTAAACGACGATCGACTACTCTTGCATTTGTTGCTCCTAAATCAATTAGGAGAGACTAGGGGTGGGCACGGAGCGGATATCCGGAAAATATCCGGTATCCGTGATCCGCTCCGTGAATAACGGATAGTTGTTTTTTCTGATCCGATCCGATCCGTGAATTTTCGGATATCCGGAAATTCGGATATCCGACTTTTTTAAAAAATATCAGCGAATATCCTATCCGATCCGTTATATATCAAATATCCGATTTTTTTTAAATATCCGCGATCCGATCCGTTATAATTTTAATTATTATTTAATTATTTAATTATTTAATCAT